TGTCCATTTTCTCAGTGTGCATTGATTGGTCGTTATTCCAGCAAGGCGAGCGTGGCGCGCGAGGCGCTTCAGAACCTGTCCACGATCGCGAAGCCCAGCACGCTCGGCTTCGCCGACATGAACGCGCTGATGCGTCGCTGCCAGGAGCTGGACGTGGCCGCCGGGGGGCCGTGGGCGCCACCGGCGCAGGCCGTCGCCTCGGCCACCAGGCGCAAGATCGACGACAGCCCGGACCCTTCCAGCCTGCTCAGCGGCATCCTGCCCGGCACCAAGTGGTGCGGCACGGGTGACATCGCCGCCAACTACTTCGACCTCGGCTCTGAGAAGGACATCGACCGCTGCTGCAGGACCCACGACCTCTGCCCGGTCAAGGTGCGCGCCTTCCAGTCGAGATACGGCCTCAGCAACATGTCCTTCTACACCAAGTAAGTGTCTTCATGGTGGCTCGCGTGCAGTGGTGCACGCGAAGTGGCCCTCAGACCCCGGAGACTTTACTAGTTCTACTGTACCGTATGCAGGTGAGTGGGCGCATTGCCCACATAATAGGGTGAGGGACGATAGGCAGGCGGGCAAGCCCACCCGCACGACTGCATGCGGTGCAGTATCAACGGGGTCTGTGGACCCGCCCTGTATGGACGCCCCGCTCGCTCCGTTGACACCACGTTGCTTTGCATATGTTGCGCAGGTCCCACTGCATCTGCGACGACATGCTGCTGACCTGCCTCAAGGCGTCCAAGAGGCCCACGGCCAACATCATGGGCAACATCTACTTCAACCTGCTCCGCGTCCCGTGTGTGGAAGACGTCGTGGACTCGGACTCGCCACAGACGGTGCGGAGGTATAGGAACCCCAAACGATACTAGCGCGGCTACGCGGCTCTGGCCGGGCTCATTCTCTTTTACTCTATGCCCAAACTCCGACCGAAATTCCCGCGACCCCATGGGCCGAGCCATGACATTGTTTTCTTATAAACTGATCTCTAAGCTGTGGGGCTGCCCCAGTAGCGCCAATGCACTTAAATCTGCTTAAATGTGCATTAGCTATGCGGCAATGCGCGTAAAAATGCGCATAAACGGTAACGCATTTTATGAGCATTACGTGCATTTCATGCTCATTTAATGCAGTAATGCGCAGAAAATGCGGGCCGAAGCGAGTGCGTTACCTTCTGTGTGCATCTTCCTGCGCATTACCAGATGCGGCGCTACCGGGGTGTATCACTCTGTTCGTCGTCCACGGAAAGTCAGCGCGCAACTTTTTCTTCGTCGAGTGTCTCTTGCACATCGCCCATTTTTTCACCTCGTCTGTGGTTATATTTTTTCGCACCCCTGCCAACCCGTGTCTGCTGACTTTTTCATTCATAGAGTACACCTGTGAAGAGCCCCCATGTTTTCCAAATCATCCAAGCAAAAGAGACTAAGGTCGAGTTGTTCACTTTACTTAGAAGAAGAAGAAGAAAAACGGGTAGAACATAATGAACGTTCCTAATTGGTCAAGCCTTTACCCTGAATGACTGGCGTGACGTGACGGCGGGTATCTCTCGACCTATTAGATACTTTAATGTCCTACCCGCTATTCTGTTCCTCTCCTCTGTAAGCTGAAGTTCACAATTCAAGCTTGCTCAAGTGGTGCGGAGCTCTTTGTATCTATGACTGATTTGGAAAATCACAACAGCATCCCTTGGAGTTCCTCACCTCTTTGTTACTAGTCAATCCATTGTTTTGGGACTCATTAATGAAATTTAAAATTTCATATTTTGTTAAAATAAATTATTTATTGATTTATTGGTACTTTTCTGACTGGAGATGCATTTACATCTTTCAAGGGTAAAACAAAATGATTAGAGAACAAAGCAATTTTGGTATTAGAAGTTATATTTATTGCCCAACAGGTATAGAAGTTTAATGATTAACAAGATACATAACAAGCGCAAGACTATAAAAATGTCTAAAAAAATATATGCTATGATTACATAAAAGCTTCAGAAAACAAAACAACAAAATTACAAAATCTTATGAACAGTGCTAATAATACAAAGGAAGGATGAAATTCAATTAGATTTAGATTCACATATAAAGGAGAGGAGGGTGTATTGCAGACGTACACTCAATGATACATGGCACACAGAAATTAAAATGAACAAATCAAAGACTAGAACCAAACAATGCTTTAGAGTCTTATTCTTGTATTATTTTATACTGTCATAATTTGTTAACAATACCCGAACAATAATCACAAACGTTTTTACAATCACTTTAAAGTACAAGACTATCACAATATGGACTGAATAGAAAATAGATCAGTACATATAAATCTTTATGGCACATATAGGTCATTTCAATCCAACAGTTGAAAGACTCAATTTTAAAATGTACAATAATTCTTCAGATAATAGGTAGCACATCAGCAAAAGTTCACATTTTGGAGCCTTAGATAATACCTATTACATATCTAGTATACATGAAGACAGTAAGACAACTACTGCACACCCTGGAATTTTAAAAGCCAAGGAATGTTTACAAGACTCAAAAATATAATCAAATGTTTCATGCATGAACACAATGACAATATACAGATGACGCTTTTTCTTGACTGTGCAGTATGCAATGAAAAGTAATATGAAAGACTTGGCACTTGGCTTTGTACAATTTCACATCAGGGGCAGGGGTCATTTGTATGCTAGTGCCTGGCTAATACCAAAGCAACACGGCATGGAAGGTACAACTGAAAAAAAAAGGAAAAAAGTTTTAAATCTATTCACTTAATTTATTTGATAAACTTGAAGACTATTAAGTAGACAAATTTTACCTGGAGGGAATGCCTGCGTCCAGCAAATCCTTCATCAAATGTGTGATGGACTACATTGTTGTCAATCCTGCTGAACCCTCCGAACTCTGCATCATCAGAGTTAAGGACAATTTTGTAGTCCCCAGGAACATCCACACCCATGCGGTAGTCTGTATAGCTTTTTGAAGAATGGAAATTGAAAGCAAAGAGGCAACCTGCCCTCTCAAACACAATAACCTTATCATCTTGGTGTTTCCAGCTCACATATCCCTAAAAAAAGGAAAAAAGGTTTTGAAAATCAAGACAAATTAAATTAAAAGTAATAATGAAAAGCACAACAGGTCAAGAATAAAGGTGCTACGCAGAGGTCTATCACATCACATATCATACCTCAATAATAATCAATATACAGATCAAGACAACCGTGAGTCTGGGCCACGACACAACAGTAAGCTGGGTTTCCTACTCACTCTACCCATAAAGCGCCATGGCCTCTAAGATATGCAAACCTGCAACACTGTTGTGCTGCGTAGCCCTGACACACGGTACACAGATAAGTTATCATAAGCACACAATAACCACAATAAACAATCCACAAGGTTAATAGTTAAAGAACACAGAAGCTATTCAATAATACTTTCAATACAACTATATAACCATGCTTGGACATTAACTACAAACCAATGAACAAATGATAAAACTACTAAGGGAAAGCATTTCAGAACCTAAACTCACCCAATCCTCCACTTGGTTTCCCTTAACAAATAAGACAGCATAGTCAATAATAACTAGGCCCAAAGAAAACCTCAACTCACAACCCCTCATCCAGATGAAATTATAACTAAACTCAACTTATAAGGGAGGCTTACCGAGTCCTTGCTCAACCACCCATACTTTTCTTCTAGATGATTCATCGCACGGTCGAAGTTATTAAGGAATTTATATTTGAGCAATTCGTCATCAACAAGGTTCCATTGACGCCGGGCGTAGTGGTAAGAGTCATTATTTCCTGCTCTAGGAAAGTCAAGCCATTCTGGATGGCCAAATTCATTACCTGAAACAGTCCATAAAGGTAAATTAAACACAAAGATTAATATTATCAGTTGTAAGACTAATTTGCCAAATGAGTGCTTACCCATGAAGTTCAGGTATGCCTCTCCACCAAGAGCATGCGTAATTAATCGGATAATTTTATGAAGAGCAAGTCCTCTATCAATAATAGGAGTAGATTCTGATAAAGTTGACATGTGAGTATACATTTCCTTGTCCATAAGCCAAAAGGCAATGGTTTTATCTCCCACAAGTGCCTGAAATTAAGTATATCAAGTAAAAATAATGTACTTAAGACATGCCATGAACTCCCAAAAAAGATTTTAAAATCTCACCTGGTCATGAGATTCAGCATAAGCTACTGCTGGTTCCATCCATCTTCTGTTGGTCAGAGTGTGGACCAGATCACCCATACTCCAATCATCATCACTTTGCTCTTTCAACATTTTAATCCACTTGTCTGGAATAGCCATAGCTAAACGGTAATCAAAACCGATCCCAGCCTCCTCGACTGGGCGACACATTGCAGGCATACCAGATACATCCTAGGGAGTAAGCAGTTCCTAGCATTAAATAATGTCTAAGAAATATTTATCCTTCTTACAGTACAGATTATTACCTCGGCAATAGTGATCATATCAGGGTAAAGTGTGTGAAGCATGTAGTTTGCGAGCATCAGATAGACTAGAGCCTCAGTATCCACATCTAAGCCAAAGTAGTCATCATAATGGCCTCCAAAACCTTGACCAAGACCTCGTGAGTGATACAACATTGATGTCACACCATCAAATCTGAAAGGATAAATGGTTTAGGCAAAAATATTTCAGTAGGAATGAAATTTGCTGTTCACTTAAATAGATCTATTTCCACTACTTTAAACCCACCTGTACCCATCAAAACCATACTCTTCAGCATACCATCTCAAATTAGAGAGCAAAAAGCGAAGAACTTCATATCTAAAAGAAATAAATTTCATGAAATAAGCTAATCAAAGTAAAATGGCACACTACAATGAAACTCGCTTACTCTGAGTAATTGAAAAGACGGCTGTCCCACAAAGTGTGCTCTCCACGAGCTCCATCATGGAAGTAACAACTGTTTGTGCCATCAAACTGGTTGAGTCCATCATCAACATTTTTTGAAGCATGAGAGTGAACCATGTCAAGAAGAACAGTTAGTCCATTTGCATGGCAAACATCGATCAAGTACTTTAATTCTTCTGGTGTACCATAACGGCTAAGATTGGCAAGAAAATCACATTTTTAAGAGAAGTTTTCATAAGAAACCACACTTCTATACAATAATATATGATGGCTTACCTTGACGCAGCAAAGAAACTTGTAACCTGATACCCGAAGCTAGCATAGTAGGCATGTTCCATGATTGCCATTAGTTGAATTGTATTGTAACCTGGTAAAAATAGAGATTTATCAAATCCACCACCCGGAGAAAAACTTAATGATATATAAGGTTGATTGAGTAATTACCTTGCTTAACAATACGAGGAACAACATTGTTAGCAAACTCCAAGTAAGTACCAACTTTACCTTCCGCTGTTCCAATACCCACATGGCATTCATATATCCTCAAGCTCTTTGGCCTCTTTGGCTTAGCATGCTTGAATTGATATTTCTGGACATGTACAAACACTTGTTATCAAGCACTACAATAAAGAAAAGGAAGTAAGTAATAGGAATTGGTTTTACCTCAGGAGGACTCCACATTCGTTGTTTATAGGTGAAGCCTTCACTTTTCGGAGGCGGAACAACATATTTGGCCCAGGGCGAGAGCCTGAACACTAGCTGTCCACTGTGTGTCCGGATGGCCAACTGCAAAATTAATTCAGGAGGTAAATTAATAGTGAAGGGAGTAGATGTTTCTTTTCAAAAACTGATGAAAAACTTGAAGAGCACCTTGATTTCAGACAAGTGTTTAATGGCAGGTGATCCATCTGAGGAAGGAGGAATGTTGATCTCCCACTTGCCATACTCCAACTTGGTGAAAGGATGACTTTCATTGTTCCAACCATCTGAAAATAATGAATGAATTACAGTAATGTGATTAGTAGGAGTAACACACTAAAGTTGACAAGAAAATGTCAAATATAGAAAACACACATACTGAAATCTCCAACCAAGTACACCTGTTGGGCTCCTGGCGCCCACTCCCGTGCAGTAATGGAGTTGTCAGGATTGACGTGGATTCCAAAGTAGTCATAACCCTTTGTGAATTTGTCCAGACCACCATCAGATGAATTTACTCTCTCAACGTAATCCTTAAACACAGCGTACCTGGAAAAGAAAATAAGGTTGTTACCCACTTTTTTTCATTAAAATGAAAACAATGTTAGAATGTGGTTTGTCAAGAGTAAGACTAGATGTCCCTTCAATGTTCAAATGACGGGTTATTATTCAATTTAGAGAACTACTGACATGTATTGGGAGTGTTTACCTAAGTTGACCTTGATTTTAAATTGAAGGTCGAGCACGTAAGAAACAATTTTCGGTACAAACCTGCGTCTGAACTCTCTCTCGTATGGATGTAAATAAGGATCGCGATCAAGAAGGGTTTTTAAAGCCGGTACTTCCACCTCCATGGGATCCATCGACGAGAATTTTCCACCCATGGCTGAAATTCACTAAAACCCTGATGGAAACGAAGGTTAACCGACGATGCCGGCTAAACGAATGCTGCTCTAAACTTGAGGGACAGGGCAAGGAGCCTCTATTTCTCGAGCGAGAGGGGGCGATGGTATCTGATCGGCACCGGACTTGCCGTGACCTTCAATAGTTACGACGTGTTTATCGACAAATGCGACATTCTCCTCTCCTCACCGCGCCCTCATTGGTTCAAGCAAACCTCTCCTCCCCGTTTTCGTTTCTTCTGCTTCTTGTTTTTGTTTTTTTGTTCATTCCTTTTCTTTTCTTTTTAGTGGGGGTCAGTAAGGACGGTGGTGGGGACCGAGATTAAGCCAAAAGTGGGGGAAATAGGGAAGACCTACTTCCTGCTTTATCTCATTTTGGATACAAGTTGACATAATTATTAATAAAAAAATATGAGCTGTTTGAAAATGACATGGTGCAGTTTGAAGTACATTTAGTCTGTCAACAGAATGCCAGGTTATAGATGAGGAAAGAAGTACTCGCATTATATCTAAACACAGTCTTTTTAATTTATTCTTGGTTTTAACAGGATAAAAATTAAATAGCTTCATTTGGTCACTGTACTAGAGCGAAGTCAAAATGAAAAATTTGAAAGATTTTTTGAGAACTTAAATAAAAAGACACGGACATGCAAATATTTATTTAGACTGCATTTAACACTATTTTGATACTTTTTGTTCCGTAACTAAACTAATTTAAACTCAAATGAAACTGCGGTCACATGTAGAGAATCACTCTGGCTCTGAATTGCATGGAATCGGACCCAGCACCACAAGCTTCTTGGATAGATCCAAAGAACTTGTTTCTATCAATTGTAATACTGCAACAAAACAATGCCTAAAGTCCCCAAGGCAAACAAGGATGAATTTGGTTATAGCTTGAGGTACACATTATCAATCTCACCGTGTGCAAAATGACTACTTTTTACACAAACCTTTTCTCGCAAATTAAGAGAACAATAAATATTAAGTACCGTATATGTTCACTCAAAATTCTTGATACTTGACAAGCCTCAACATTTATCAATCAATCAAATTCTTTTAATAGAGGGTGCCAAAAGTCTTTTTGTTGGATAGTGGCAGTTACAGATTTAACGAAACATTATGTATAAAATGGTTTTGGAAAAGGAGGGAGTAAGTTGCCAACAGATGATTAAAAAAAGAGGAATGTATTAAATTTGTCCAAATTGACTGATTTACAATGTCATCTATATAGCCTTTTATATTATGGATCATTGAGTATTCGCAACAGAATTTATGTATCCTGATGGCATACTATAAATAAGTTAAGTTAGGGACAAGTAGTTGTTTCATCATTGCTCAAAACAAGTGCAATAACAGGGTGACAGGCCAGTACAGTAATACTTTACACATCTACTGCCTGAAAAACCCGGCAGCCACCCGCGCACTCAAGCACTGCTCAACAATAAAGGTAGATGTTAGTTTCCATCCCCATTGGGACAGTCCCATTTCAAATGAACTTCTGGGGTGTAGTTGATAATGTTCACATGAATGGCTTGATGTTTTTCAAATTTAGGTGGAATTGGGCAGAGCTTGTATTGAACTTGGTCACCAGGTTGAGGTATATATTCTCCTTCAATACTGTAAATTAAAAAAATTCAGATAAAGATCATTCATGTTTTGCAGCTTGCACCGAACAGATCATTTTGAAAAACTGAAAAGATGGGAATCTATACGTACTCAGATATATGAACAAATATGTCAGATCCACCACAATCACGTGTTATGAAACCATGGCCCTTCGAGCGACAAAATGATTTAACTTTTCCAGTTTCCTGATTCTCTCCGGCTCTCGCACACCTGTTGCATAGTAGGTTAACAATATCACAAAATGGCTTTTAAAAAGAACTATTAAAAAATGGAAAATGAGAGACAAAACATAAAAATACTATGAGAGGAATAAAATTGACTACATGATAAAATATGCAGAAGATCAAAAGAATGTAAGATTTGGTGTAAATAAAACTTACGTTGACAAAGTACGAGTTCTTCTTGTTACAATTGGACTGGGAACGAACAAATTGTGGTTTGGTGACTCAGGAGACAACTTGTTGCTGTCGCCTGCTCCTGAGACATCTGCCATTTTCTGCAAAAGACCGAGACAAGATAAAAAAAGATTCAGAGTTAGCTGAAACAAATTTCAACTAGATAGAAGAAATTCAGACACAGGTACACGGAGAGTGATTACCAACGGAACTAGCTTTAGATTTAAAAACTAACTGTCAACATTCAATTAAGCGACTGAAATGTAATTTGTAAACGTTTACTTAAATGTGTTGAGGCGATAGTGCTATTGTGTTAATTGGCGCTATTGCATCAATCGACATCGCGATCTGATTGTTGAAGAAGATGACGACAAATCGCTTTGCAATACCAAACCGAAACGATGAGATCTTCTGGAACTTCCTGAAGAAAGCTAAGATACACACTGACGGCAAAACTTTTGGTATTTACCCAAGCCGATGAAGTTTGCAATGTCCTGGAGAGAGTTGGGGAGGCACAAGGCACAGCGAGATCAGCGGCAGCGGCGGGTGTGACGGTAACAACAACAACATCAACACAAACATCAAGGAGGTGCTCTCCATTTCATGAGCGTCCTTGAACCGGGAGGTCTGTTCCATAATCGCGCAGTGGTCTCTTCTTCAATCCGCATTGTTTGATATTGGCGCGTAACGGTAAACAAATTTCCTTTTATCTTCAATTTGTTCTTTATTTTAAAGTTTATATTCACGATATTAAATTACATTTTTATATTTACGGAACTTCTTTCTCCTAGCTTTCTCAGCGCACTCTGCTGAAAGCGGGCTTCACTAAAGCAGAAAAACATGCGACGATCGCGGTGTTCGCGCAGCTTCTCCCGCTCGGAGAGTGATTTCGTGATGTCATTGGATTTATCGTGTTAAGAAAGTTTGTAAACCGTTCAAAATGCCTAAACTACGATTGGTGGAAGTCCTGGAGGCGACGTCCAAGGTGAGTTTTCCTGTTAAGCCCTTATTTTGCTCCAAAAGGGGTAGAACTGTTTTCGCGCGCTAGCCGTGTCGTGCCGCCGTGTGTCGGCACCCGGCTCAGCTCCCGTTGATTGGAATTAAACTGAAAGTTTCTCTGTGATTGTGTACCCTTTCCCTTCACTCCTATACATTGCTCACACACCAACTTGATTGTGGTGTTCAGTTCTTTTCTGAGGGTGTTTTGACGATGATTTGCTCTGGCGCGGTTGAAAGCTTGTGTCAGTGTGAGCAGAAGCCGCGGTGGCCTCAAGGTTATGGCGGGCGGTCATCCGGCCATGAACCGGTTGACAGCCGGGTCCTCGTTCACGTAGCTGTTTAAATAACATCAGCGCAATGATGTGTCGTGTCCTGAAGTCCACCTCCTGCGTCTTCGTCCACTTTTTGCCATTGTCAAGACCTGAGGGCTCACCGTTTCAATCCTTGGTTCTTTGCTGTTCCCGGGAACCCAGGTGGTCCCCTTTTCTCTATACACGGAACGACCCATTTTCTTCTGATCCGTGATTTGCTTCGAGTTTCAGCCAGTTAGCGTTGTAGGGTGTAGTTACAATCAACTTTGCTATCTTTGATTGTGCTGGCATTATGTACCAGTAATATGGTGCTTTCCTTTCACAGAATGTAAGACATCCCCCTACAAATATGACACTTCCAAATTCAATGAATCAATGGCTATGTCAGAAAGGAGAAGTGAATCATTCAATGTCGGCTACCTTTAAACTGGCAAGTCTTTCTTGCATTGGAAGAGTCGATATTGGTGAGTACATGTGGCCTTTAGTTTGTGCCTCAGCTTCCGTTATTTATTCTCTAATTGCATCTTTCTGCTCACAGGTAATCACTCATCAGCCAGTGTCTCTGTATTAGTTGCCCGAAGTGGCAGCAAAGATTTTAAGGAATTAACACCTCCAATTGTTTTTCGTAATGAGAATGACTGTCGAGATGGCAACAACAAAAATTGTGTCAGAATATTGTCCAGCTGTGAGTATGCTTGACTCGTTAGGGGTTGTTTTAAAAATTAATAATCATTGTGTGTGAAGGAGATTTAACAATATTTTCATTTTGCAGCACAATTTCGTGATGATACCAGGCATGAGATGTGGGATTTGGTTCGTGTTGTTTGTTACCAACCATTTCGCCGTCCTGAAGATGAGCTGTTTGGATTATCATTTTTTAAAATATTTGATGCCCCCTCACAGTCTCCTACCATTAATAGTATGCAGAGGTTCAAAGAGACTGCGTTTCGATCAAGGTATAAATTTAATCTCACGAAGGCTGTAAATCTGGTTGTTCATTACCTCATTGTTGAATGTATTTTCATTTTCAGCATCACAGCCAAAAAAGAAGTGTTATTTTCTAGTAGTATGACTCGGGCTGAGAAAATGTTGGCTGCTTCCAAAACATCCCCCATTAATGGTGGTATGACCATCTTGTTTGTGTTTTCATTCTTTTCTTGACTGTGAAGAACTCGTGTGTAAAATACTGTTTTGCTGTTTCAGTTAAAACCCCTTCAGGCAGTGATGATGATTTTTTTAAAGCAACGATAATTAGTTTGCTGGAGGCGAATACAAATGTATTGAAAGCTAAAAGCATTCCTGATGCCAAGTGTGGTGAGAAATTGTCTGATTCTTTTGGATTGTCTTGTTTATATTTGGATGTGTATTTACTGATTTCTAACCCCTTTGCAGAACTCTCTCAAAAACTCCAAGATATGATGGGGAAAAAATTCACTATTTACGAAACTAGAACTTTTAATCACACATTCCGGAACTATTTGGCTTCCTCAAAAGATAAGCTTCCCTCTGGAATCCTGACTCCCAGAGCATCCAACAATCAAACTTTAACATCTTTGGGGTGCAGGAAGCTAGAAGACACAAAAATGAGTCTGTTAAAACCTCAAAGTGACTCTTTCAACACATTCAACAATCAAACAGTGTACTGGGCTGAAGTACACCACAACCATGGGATGAAAGATGGACCTGTGTCCTATATGGGACGCAGTGGTAAAGAGAACACTCCCTACTTACTGGAAAAGAACAGTTTGAGCAATGGGAATGGCATTTTGGAAGACGCCCACCTGTCAGGTGCAATAACGGAAAGAAAGAATTGTGTTGACTCATCTCCGTGCGACAAGTATTCCCCCAGGGATTCATGGAAGAATCGAAATGATAAAAATAGATGTGACTCTTCTGAGAGTAGCCCTGATGCGTGGTTGAAGCGCAAATCTGATCCTAGTGAAAGGTCACAGTCAGCAAGCAAGAAAAGACCACGTGAAAGTATATCAACTGAAGATAACTGTAGTGAATCCGTAACTGTGAACAGGGTAACACCCAGCGGGGGTTGGCTTCTTAATGGTTCTGGTCTTCACAAGAAAAAGTATTCTCCTGTAGATGAAAACAAACAGAACACAGTAAAGTTTCCCTACAGAGTATCTCCACCACCACCCCCTGATCGGCCCGCTTCACCTTTACCTCTTGTTGATGATATTGATCAACCTTCAACTTCCAGCCGTGAAACTGTAGCAGAGCGCAACATTCGTATGGATTTCGAACGAAGATTGGCTGAGCGCAGCCCACCTGAGAGGGTTGTTCAGAGAACATCTGCTGGTAAAGTTAAGGGACCATTCTGCACAAAGGGCATGAACACTAACGATTCACCCTTGAGAAGATTGTCCCTTTGTGACGAAGGGGAAGAAATTGACTCACCTTCAGCACGCCGAAAACTCTCTTTTGTCCGTCAAAATGGCCAAGATGCAGACAGTGGAGACCTAGTGGAATGTCCTGTTTGCAAATGTAAGTGGGTTTGACCAAAGACTTACTTTCTTAGATAGTTGTCTATTTCTAATCAAATACTATTTTGCATTTCTCCTTTATTTAGGTTACTTTGAAGGCTGTGACATAAATAAGCACCTTGATGAGTGTGTCCCTTCACCCATGAAGAAAGTGGATGATGGGGAGAACGATGATGAAATGGTGAGTTGTTCTGTTCTACTATTGTGCTATCCAAGCCTTTGACCTGGAATTCTCAGTATCCTGGGATTTATAAGTCTTTCTCTGTTGGGTGGGGAACAAATTGGTAAATCAGCCAGAGTAAGACCCTTCAATAGCGGCAGGTCGCGCTCATGGGCGATCCATGCTTAGACTCAAGGGTCGAGATTCGCTGCGCTCGCGTCTTTCCTCACTTACAGAGCATCTGATTGTAGATGGGGACATTTCATGATGCTGTGGGTAAGGGGAACTGTCCTCTTACTTTTTTCAGAATGATAAACATTTTAGTAAATCAAAATGACAGGTAATGGGCAGGGGCCATAGTCAGCCCTTACAAACGCCAGGTCCACCCTTATATCCAGGTTTTACTTTACTAAATAATCATTTAGTGTCTGCAGGTGTTCCAGGTTGCATTAAGGCCATGTCTGTGTGTGTTCATATATTCTTATTTCTCTTCTAATGATCACCTTTATTATTTTCTAGGCCTGTCCAATTTGTGGTCTTTGGCAGCCAAAGGATACAGTAGCAGCTCATGCAGATGAATGTGCCCAGAAAAGATATGGTGCTTAAAACTGAAAGTATTAAGCATCTTTCACCATGTTCAAGTTACCTGTTTTTTTAAGTCGTACTTGATAATATCTTTTTTCTTTGCAATCTAACCAACTGCAATATGAGATTAGCTTCCCTTTTTTAATAAGTAAGTGATAAGGTTTGCCGAATGTTATTTAGGCTGCCATAGTAGTCACAGAAACTTGTTCACTTCGGTTTTATTGAAGAAAACTTTAAAGTGGCATAATTGAATGTGACGGTTTTAAATCTACCGGTAGTAGTCGTAACCAACTTTGTGTCCTTATATTGTAAGTTTTTCAAACTCTCCAAATAGCTCAACATCCTGAAATTCATTGAAAGCTTCTTATCAATTTGTTGTCTTGATAAATAGCAGTTTTCTTACTTTCTTATAATAAATGTTTGATCCACTGCCAATTATCAATAATTACTGCCGTTTATAATACTCATGCTGGAATGAGTGTTCTCATCACTTAGATTTGATTTAATATGTAATTTACTATATTTTTTTTTTTTTACTTTTCCCTTGACAATACATAAGTGTTTCTTTTCCATTTTATAAGACAGTGGACTTATACGTTGGTCTGAGGGGCCAATGTGTTTTAGGAATCTTTCGCAATATTGGTGCCCGAGGTAATTCTGATGTAGTGCCCAGCACCAAGCAAGCTATGGGAATGAGACCTCTTTGACTGTAAGCATTTAGCTGGCATAGCTTGCTCTTTGCAGGGCTTTTTTTAATAAGGGTTTCAGCGTCATATGTTGAGTATGCATTTTGTCTAACAGTGTTTGAAATGAAATAAGATGTGTAAATCACTGTAATTTGTGATTCATTTTCTTAAATGTAACATTATGGTTTCCATGTTGACTTATGACTCAATTCTTTAAATAAATGAAAGTCTATCTCCTCAGCTTGTGGTACGGGTTAAAAAGTTTATTAGGTATTATCAGTGTTGAATTTTATTTGTAGTTAGTCAATACGTCATTGTATGATAACTGTTTTCTTTGAAATGTTCTTAAGTAAGATTTTCGTGTAATTGTAGTCCTATTGTACATCTATTTTTTTTCTTTGCACATGTACTATAATTGAGTGAGCTCTACTTTTAATTTATGTTTATAGAGGTGTGTTTCATATTTGTTACATCCCCATTGGATGAAAAAGTACAAACCAAAGTTTATGTATTTCAGCATTACTTTATTCCATGATTACAGGGCCTTGTCAAAATAAGATCAGGTTAATCAATTAATGTAAAGCTTTGACTGCCTGCCTGCCGTGCATGTGGTTACAAATTCCCTGTAATGATGGACTTTTGCAATGCAAGTTGTTACCAAGCTGGTTATGTTCCAGTCCCTACTGACATTGACAGTCAGGTGATCAAAAGAATATTGAAGTTTTCAGTTTTGTTTCCTGTATCAGCTAAGTAAGTACTCAGTTAATTTTTGGTAGGGCTTCAATCTAACAATATGTGTTTTCATCACATATCCTTTTCATTTTAACTCATGTAAAAATTCTTCATTCTTTTGAGCTCCTAATTGCCTTTTTACAATGCCATTGTGGTAGTAGCTTAATTACAATTCTAATTAATGTAATGTTATTGGATCTCAAAATATTTTTCATAGCAATTTCCCGATTTTACCTACTACAATTGATGTCAATCAATATTAAAGGATCAGAAAAAACTCCTTTCTTAAAAAACAAATCTCTATATTTATTCATCTTACTGGGAGGTTCTAAGTCCTTAAATTAGATTCAATTGTGTACTTCAAGTCTTCTTTTTTTTTTACTGTTTTACCTGTTATGTTTATAATTGTCTTCATAGTTCTCATTGAAACATTTCTTTTAAGAACTTAAATGAGGGTTGGGTAACGAGTGTTCCTAACTTTGTAGAACTTGCAGAGATTTTTCCAGCCAGTGCAGTTAGTTTTTTTATTGTTATGATCTTGCATAGCTGAAATTTTACCTGCGAGTTGTATTTGTTAGAATACTTCAGGTATTTGACGCTTGCAGGGTTTGTTTACTTAAAATAAAGAGATCTCTCTATCCTGCAGGGGAAGAGAGTGTGAGTGGTTTTTAACAGAGCTCATTTGTACATGAACCTAATCCTCCAAATTTTTGTGGTTCCTTTGTCACTGGCAAAATTTTGGGTGCCAGTTCTGGGAAGGATCAGTCAGAAAAATTGACAGCATCTTATTCACACCTTATTGCTGCTTCTGACTTTCCAACAATATTCGTAAGTGTTGTGGCACCTTGATATGACAATGACTCAAGGAAAAGTTGTGGGATTAGATACCTTACATAGGCCACCCTAAAATTCTTTAACAGTCGATCTACAGATGTCAAACCACACCAATTGTACTCTGAAACAATGCTGGTTTATTATAATCACAACTTTCATTTGCCTAAAAATACAGGTACAAATACAATCTAAAGTCTTCTCATTCATGGTCAAATTTTCCAAAGAACTTAATGACTGATTTATTCTCGGTGAAGCCTGTAAAGCTGAAAGCGCCCTGTCGTTTATTTTTGGTAAGCTGATAGACCGTAACCAGCTTGATAATCTCGGTGAAGCTCAAACTCAAAACAAATAGCAGGGTGCCTTCAACTTCAATGACTTAACTGACACTAAGTCACAACTACTTCCCCCACCAACATAACAAACCTTCATAATAGTGAACTAAATAAAAACAAGTCCAGTTTGAGAGAAAAAAAGGTCCTAGACATAACATAGAAACTGGTCCTTTACAAAATTATTCTGCAAAATACAATTTGTTATCAGACTTCCAGAATAAATTTTGTAACTACATAAAAAGCAGATATGAAACACTTTTATTAGAGAACATTGCAGAAAACAAAGTCACACAATTTCACCAAGGTATAACTCAACAATGATACTATAAGGTAACTTGAACCGTGAAGTTAACTGTGAATAACTTCACGCTTGAACAAAATCACTACCAGGCATAAATAAAAAGAAACAAAACTGACTGAATAACAAAGAAACAGGAAGAAATAGAAAATACGAATGATGAGATGACAAGTAGGCGATATTAAGCATAAAATGGGAAGGGCACTGTTGGAACTCGCTTCAACTTTATAATATTCTATTCCACATTAGGAGTGTTTGAGAGCATCACAGTAAGGTCACTATTCCATATCCATTTCACTTAGGTAGAGAAATTCTCAGTTTCCAGAGAACATAGATTCTTTTGTTCCAAAACAAAAAAGAACAGGATAAAAATAGGATTATAAAACAATTCTCAACAAAAGCAAATTCATTGATTGGAATGATGACTGGGTGTTAAACCACCACTAGTGTGTTCTGGACTGTGCTTTTGCTTCTTTCTCTTCTTTTCTTTTTTTCTCTTTTTTCTTTCCTTGTCATCATCATGTCTTTTCTGTTTCTTGTGTTTCTTCTCATGGGCATCGGTTCCTATGTCAGTAGAGCCAGCAACTTCACCTCCACTTGCTGACTCTCCAGCTTTGTGTTTATGCTTCTTATGTTTGTTCTTATGCTTCTTCTGAGGGGTTTGATTAACATACCGATATTGTTCAGGTAGCTGTGTAGGAAAAATCATAGATAAGAATTGGTCCACAGTAGAAGAAGAAAGAACAAGGAAGATGACTGGTAACCAGTTTAGCGTTTATGCAATTGTGTGATTAAGCGCATTAACATTTTATAGAGGAGTATAAAGAGAACAGCTTAAAGGCATCTTCATACAATTGCATAAACCCAACAAAACCACTAACTCAATATCTTTGACCACCATATACAGTAGTTGTCACTGACTTCGCAGGTAATTTGTTACAAAATTAAATGCACTTACAGGGCCAGGATGAAGACGAAAACCAGCTAATTGGACACTAGTAAGGGGTAATAGCTCCTTTCCTCCTATTGGTGGTTTATCAATGACAGACCTTAGAGAACTGAAAGAAGAAAAGACAGAAAACAAACTCAAAAAACACTGTCACAGAGAGGGTGTGCAGGCTCTTGCTGTAAAGCACTGAAGTCTTAATTATGTCAATGAACCAGAATATGAATTCGTCTAAATGTTGTCCTCTTGTCCCAGTAGAGCAATGCATATCAATGCACATAAAATATGGCAATGAGCCGAGGGGGCATCAACTTCGACTATTCACGGTGCACCCGCTGGTTAATATCTAATAGGTATTCAGGTGATATTTGCGAATATTCACAAGATATTCAAAATATTCATCGATATTCATCAATATTCAAGGATATTAATCAACAATCAGAGTGAATATTCACTGGTATTCAGTGATATTCACTGATATTCAGTGACATTGAATATTTGAATATATTCACAGTTCACCAAATTTCCAAGTTGGTTCCCCCTCGCAATGAGCATCAAAATGCACATTTTTAGCACATTTAACCAGCATTACATACATAAAATTTGAATTGTATGCTCTAATGCAGACTTAACACGCCACAAATATGGGATCTTTTAAGCACATTTTGCTGTGCATCACCGCACTGGCACAACTAGTGTGGGTAGGAGCACTGATGTAATTTTGAGGTCAACCACTGACTTAAATAGACTGTGGATTCCTTGGTGTTATCCCTTTTCAACTATAACTGTAAGCCATGAGCTGACAACTTACCTATTATCTGAGTGTCCTGGACTGTCTATGATGCCAGGAAGATTAGGTAAAAATGAAGAAAGTTGTTCTTTAACCTTCTTTCCACTAAATTTACTGTATGAATGTTCTAATCCATAATATGCCATCAAATTTGTAGCACCAGTTAACTCACTTTCAGCTGTAAGGGAAAAAAAATGGTAAGTAGAATTACAAGAATATTCTCGCAAAAGACAGTTCCGGCTGTGCCCATTTAAAGAAGAACTAAGGGTATCACCACTGAAACCAGTTCTGTAATAACAGATAGAACCAGAGCACATGAAACCTTTCTAGTTATTTGAGAGTTACTCCTAAATTACAAAAATTACGAAACTGTCAGTACTGGTTCCGGTTCTCATTTCCTTACTTCTTCTCAAACTGCGCAAAGCTGGAACCGTCTATTATATGTAATATCGTTGAAAAAAGGGCTACGACTTTAAAACAACAATTAATTAAGTTAAAATGATGATTTGTTACAATCTCATGATAATTACGTGTTACCCAGTTTAACTAAAGCCCAGCTGGCATAGGCAGAGTAACTACTTGAAGCTGGGCAACATACCTTTCTATTCAAAAGCTAATAATTTAATCTGATGGCGTCAATGATCGGCCCAAATTGACACACTTCCAGAAAAAGATGTGAGAATTTAAAAAAAAAAACAATCGACGTAGCGGTTTTAAATCTACGTTGCAATTGCAATAGTGTAAAAACTACAATCAAACGACATCACTTAAAAACTAAAAAATTCTTTTTATTCATAAAGGACACCCAAGGACGCACTAAACTATGAAGTACCAAAAGAAAACGCACAAACTTCAAAATCCTCTACAGATTAAGGGTGACCTGCATAACCAGAACTGATAACAGATTTTCCCTTTGAAAATGGGGAGTGATCAAAAAGTTACAGTTTATATCAATTCATATTTGGGTAAGTGCGATATTATACATTATTAAAATTCCACAATCTTAAAGGTAAATTTGGGTAAATGTCACTACCTGGAGGCTCTTTCATCAAATAAAATGGTCCATGGTGGACTATAGACGGGTTTTTCCCGAGCGAAATAGTCGTTTTTAACGTTCCAGTGGAATCTTGACGTGACACAACTGGAGACCGCGCGCCTCTTGGAGAAGATTTCGGTGAATATTGCTCCATTTTGCGATACTGATCACCCATCATCATCATATTCCCACATCGTCGCACACCATACCAATGTTTTGCTTTGGCTTTCTGGCAACCAAAACCAGCAGCTCCAAGTTCAATCGATCCTTTCGCTTGTGATCGAAGTTTTCCTCGATATATCGGTGCCGCTGCTGGGCGCTAAAGACAAATACGGGTTAAGTGATACGGTGGTACATGGAATAGTTAGATTAGATGCGGAGCGGAATTATTTCAGGCTGCAGAAGTTAAACTCGAAATACTTAACGGCTTGACTGACGGGCGCATGAAAAAAAGCAGAAATTTCCAGACTTCGCCACTTTGTCTCCATAAGTTCCTTCTGACGTATGTGGGACATTTTTCCGATTCTTCCATTCTCGCACATTTTTGTGTAACGGCGTTACATTAAATGAAAATCTTCTGGGGTAAAAAAGCACAATTTCCATCCCAACATTCTAATAGTATAGGCAAATGCATCTATCTATTAAGACCGGACAAGAGTAAATACGACTCTCAGCGACTCTAACGGAAAAAATCAAAGGCATTTGAAATTTCGCGCCTTTCCCCACCACTCGTCACATATTTTTTTGCAAATTTGATAAGAAACACAGTTTTCCTTATTCCATTGTAAATCAAAGAAACAAAATCCAAATTAAACAATATTTCTTGTGTATTTGAAACACAACATGAATGTTTAAATTCGTTTAGATCAAATAAACACGGAGATGAGCGCTTTGGGTTGGAGAGTATGTTGCCATGCGCGTCTGGGTTGTGTGCTCACAGATGAGAATTGCTCAGTTAACCCTATTTTGAGTGTAGATCAGATCCAGATCGCTGGATTCGTTGTGGTGTGAATGTCGGAAGTTATGTTGTTTAATACTAGAAGATGACTGGTCTGATTGCTTAATTATCTTTTCAAAATGTCCGAGACTGCGTTTAAAGGTAAATATTGTCAGATCCTTGCACTTTTACATCAGAAAATCTGTTTGTCCAGGTAACGACAGTCTGGAGTTCTTGGGGTATGAAAGAGAAGGTAGTTGATACGTAATTTATTGAAAACTTGTAAGTGTTGAACTTTTAACTTTCTCTGTACTATTTCTTGGGATATTTTCTGCGTTAGATCTGCTTCTTGTTTTGGAAAATTACACATTCCCCTAATTTCTTTTCGTGAAATCCTCGCACATTCAACTACCAGACAGTCTTTGAATTCGAAGTTACGCCCGTGAATATATGGAAGAGTTCTGGTTAATCGGGATCGTTCCTGATGTCTTTTTATATTCTCCGGAATTCGGCGAACTCATCAGGCATGTATTGACCGTAATGGTTTGGATATGTGCTGTGTATCCTGGACGATAGCGTTGAGGCTTTGTTTACTGAGCAGGTCGGTTTTCCATATCTACGTCTACGTGTTCGAATCTTTTTCTGGTTTCCTGTATTACAATACATTGTTTTCTTTTTACAAACAGTTCGATGCTTATGCGATTTTCTTGCCGAAGCGCTAAACGTCCATTTAAGCCTCAGAAATATCTTCCAGAATTGGGCAGCTGTGCTAGACCCATTGTTCCAACATTCTTGACATTACCCGTCCATTAAAAGCAAGTCATAGCAGCCTTTCCCATCATTTAATATTTGTCTACTTTTGTTTTTGTTGTAGCTCCCCGAGCTTTCAAGAAAAGCCCCAAAAGTGAGGATGAAGATGTAAGTATGGTGGCTCACAGATCTTTCTTGTGTTACATGGCAAGGGCAAAACAATTGATTATTGTTTATTATTCTCAGGTCTATGCTACAAGTCCAAAAAGACCTCGCACTTCAGAGGATTTCTATCTCTTTTGCAAATATATTTTGGAATATGAAGATTACGAGAACCAGAAAGTTCAAGATGTAAGTACAACCAGCTTCACATCACATTATTGTTTACAGAAGTTAGATGATTGTCCTGACCTTTTATAGAAATCTGTTTCATTTCTTTAATGCCTTTACAATGACGGACTATTTTTCCAGGAAATGAGAGAGAAAGCTAGTAGCCCCATAGGTAGCACTGGTAGTGGTGCAGACAGCATAAAGTCAGAGTCAGCGTCGAGCTCTCAAGATGACCGTAAGAGCTCTGATGATGCGGGTACCTCAGGTATCTATTAGTGAAACTCAATTTTCTCTCTATTCATTCAAAATATCATTAAGTTGTTAATACTGATTTATTTTTTCTAGATGATGATTCGTATGATGTTATTACATGTTATTGCTCAAAGCCATTTGCCGGTCGAGCAATGATAGAGTGCAATGAATGTTTAACCTGGATTCACCTGTCTTGTGCTAAAATCAAGAAGAGTAACATACCTGAAATTTTCATTTGTGTGAAGTGTACAAACAAGCAGAAGCAGACATCTGAGGAATCAACACACCTCAGTTACAGATCAAAGAAGCGGATAACTGTTTAAAAGCTTTGACTTCAACTCTTGTGATGTGGCAGATATGTGTGATTGATTAGATGTATTTCAATGTTCATATATATATATATTTTGAAAAGACTTTTATATATATATGGTTATGTACAGCCTTACCAACATATTTCTATGGAAGATGAACTTACATCCGTGTGTGTAGTTTGTTGTGAATTTGCTCTTAAGTTATGTTTGCGAAACTGTGGAATTTGCAGTAGTGTGCTTGTCTCTTACTCAATATTGTCTTGCCAACAGTGTTTTAAACTCTGAAACAATTCTGTATGGAAAAGACAACCTTTCTTTTGTCTTTTGAAACTCGAGCTCTTTTTGGTTATATTTTTATTAATCAACTATATTTGAATATTTTGAATTTTGACTAAGCCAGAAATCAACATAATGTAAGAGCAATTTTGTATGAAGATTGATAAAGTTTTATACTTGTTTTAGTTGAAAAGAAGGGACATGGATCAATAGAATATGCTGAAATAGGAAGTGACTGACAAATGTTACCAAATGTTAAGTAAGAATGCTAGCTGCTAATTTGCCCTGTACTCGTCATGCAACATACGATTCTTGTCAAGAGAATTGAGATTCATGATGAAGATTACGTGGGTTGAGCTTTTTGTTTGTTTTTAATTATTTTTTGTTTTTGGTATGAACTTGGATACTTAATGGTATTGTCCTTACCTATCATAGTACTAATGGTTTGCACAATAGTGTGAGGTACTTTGGGCCTTACATTCATAACTATCACCAATCTTAACCTTCACTTTCATGTGTCAGTAAGCATAGTGTTAACTGTCAGATGTTTTTATTTATAGCATTTTGTGCTGTTGACCCTGTTCCCATGTACTATGGGATATTTGCTCTTTACTCATTTGTTGATATGTGATATTGTTGTGAGGACTCCAGCGGACAAGATATTTGAAATTGTGTTATGGGTACAATTATTCTGTAACTAATGGCTGTCAGGATTGCTCATAGGTGTTTTATCCTCTTTGGCACTGTATTAAAACACTACAATTTTTAAAAATAAATAAATGGTTCAGTTGTGCTGAATGATGGTAGTTCATCATGGTAGCCTAGTTGAATCAAACATCTGAATTGGCCTTTGCAAGTGATGTATGTAACAATTTAATTATATTTCTCACTGTCTACATTGATTATGATCAATTGAATTGAAGCTTACTGGTCACTTGTGTTAAGGGTTAAGTGAGAAAATGTACCGCAGATGTGGAGCCATATGATTTTCTTTCTGATTTCATATTTGATCAATTTTCATCTGATTTTAAATTTAAATTGTGGTTCAGTGTACCTTCATAGTCTATTACTATAAATGATGTGCCATAAGTGTTAAACTTGCTAGGAATTCATTGTGATAAGGAAGTCTTCTGAGCTGTGAATTGGTCCTTATGTTAGTTTAAAATTTCCAAAACACAATGAATTTGCCTTCAGTGCTTGTTGTTGTAAAGTACAATCCAATTTTGGTAAACTATAGGTTTGTATTGTTACTTCATCTCATATGGTGCCAAAGTTATTCTGCTGGTCATTCTCCCTTAGTTCTGGCTCTTTTTAGTGTGTCACATCAGCAGCTCTGTATTATAGATCTCAGCACACTTTTCTAGCAGAGCAGGAAGTTTGATTTATGTATTCAACAGTTTCATTTCCAATGGAGATTCCTTTCTCTTTTATTATCAACTTGTTTTACCGTTCTTAATATTGATAGGTAATAAATTTTAACAAGTTTGAATTGACAAGCCTTGAGCATTGTTGTGTTCTTTCCCCTTCTTCTGAGTGCATCAGTCTTATTACCTGTTGCTACTATTTGTTTCCTTGTGCATTTCAATGCTCCATTATTTGGCCTCTCCTATGATATCTTGCTTGCTCACCTGATTTGCCAAATTGCAGTATCTAATTCTCACAGCTCCACAGCTTAAATATATTATGTGACAGTCACTTCCATAGAGAGACTATACCGTTTGGTCTTCAAACAGATCTTTTTATTGAGTTCTTGCAGTTCAGTCATCTATGCTATATACTAATGAACTTGTGCTAGTCTTTCTTAGAGCGTGAGTTCTTTGCCATAGTGCCTATTATTAGTACACCAGTGAGATGAGTGTATTTTGTTGAATCAATGTACAAATTTGTTAATGAAAGGTCTTTATAATTTGTAATATTTTAATATTAGTGTCTTCCATAAGCTTGAAGATTCTTTTGTATAATACATTTAGTTCTATTCTCGTCAAATAAAACTTGCACTTTCAATTTGCCTCATTGTTTTTTCATGTTTGATCTTGTTAAGGTAATATATTTTCCCGAATGATACTGGTTCCAAGTCCAGGTATTGAAATATTGCATATGTTTCATTTTAAGATGTGGTGTGTCTATTTTCATATCATGTTGTGAAAGTACTTGTTGGTTGACATGTTTGTAATAATACTGATACTGGATCTCAAACTTGAGTAATATCTGCCGTTGCTTTTAATCTTATCTGATAGTACGGAAGGATGAGCCACTAGTGGTGTCAACTTCCTCCTGCTTTATAAGAGATCTGTCCCTCACTAGCATGTTTGCTAATACTATCATCAAAATGTTATGGCCCACAGTTAGTGATCTCGACTGTGACTGATAATCTACAAGAATAAGCCAGTTAAGACCCATTGCTATTATGATTTTACATATTATGAAACAAATGTTATTCCACATTGGAAGAAAGATTGCACAATATGGTTTTCTATTAGATGAGAAGCACTGGTCTCTGTATTGGTAAGAAAAAAGAACAAATTTCAAGCTGATGAATGGAACCTTGCACAATAATATTGCCCCAAAGTTAAAAGCTGAAGTAAAGGATTATTTTAAGAGTACTCATGTTGGAATAATATTGGTGTGCTTGTTAGTCTTTCATGTTTCATGATGTGTTATCTCTTTTAAAATCATAGGGACAATGATGTATGGAACAAATTGCTGTGCCTAGTCATTACAATAATTACATTGACCAAGCTGACTCAAGCCATTTGAAATGCTTAATGCTCTAATTGTTGTGTAAGTTAAGATTTTTCTTGCATTTGTCTTGTGTTGGTTTCCCTTTCTCCTCCCATTTAAAAAATAATCGCAGTGGAATTTGTTTACTCTTCACATAGCCACATGCGCACATATTCTGTTTGTTGTAAATTGTATTTGCTCTCTCCTAACATGGGCATTATCTCACAAAATCACTCCACTGGAAAACGCTTCATAATTTATGGCAAAAAAAACTCTTGTTGAAGTTGAAGAAGGATAGATTATTTGTCACTCACCAGTGCTTAGCAAGATTGGTTTTATTCCAACTCCTACATATTTGGGAATCAGTTTTGAAATTCACCTACATTTCTCCTGCTTATTGGTTTGCTTTTATTTCTTGTTGTGTATTTTTTTTATATATATATATATATATAAGATTTGTCATAAGTTGTTTTTAACTTCTGTTGTTACTGAAATATGGAAAAGTGTAGTATATTTTGACAGGTGTAACTCATGTGTGTTAATTGAAGCTACCTTACTCCTTCCTGAAATCTTATCACCCAGGTGTTGACGTATATGGATAGGACACCATTGTTCACGGAATGAAACATGAAAAATGCGAATATATTTCACAAGAACTAGGTATAATAACATAAAATTTAACTCTTGGGTAAGTAAATATATAATATTACAAATAGAAAGGATTAATGCATCATGTCAGCAGAACTAAAAATGTCCTTCCAATAATGGCCCAAAACAAATTGAGCATTAGGTTCAAGAAAATATTTCTCAGGGCCTTTATAAATTAGAAGCTGGTGAAACATCTGATTTTGAAAAAGTTACTTTCAAAGCCCTTATTAGCATGGTATTTGCAAGCAAGACTGTCATTTCACAATCATGAGTCATATACAAGAAAAAGGGTGTAGCAGTCCATGCAATAACAATCTCTTAGATCGTAAAATGAAATAAATAAGGTGGAAGAAAACTGACCTCTAAGGTACTTCGAAATTATAGCTTTCAGTTTCAGAGCCATTATTTTAAATTATTGTGAAAAAGATCAAAATCTGCCTTGCACAAATTTCAAAAATAAAGGGCTGACCCATTATCCATTTGAACTTTTGGGCTGATTTTTCTTCAACAACATTAACAACTATTCAAGATACAATTGGTCATGAACCTTGTCTTTTGAAAATGACTGTGCATTGGCACACATACTCTTACATTAAAAATATTTGGAAATAAAAACAAGAAAAAAATAAACTACGGTAACAGTAAGAATGAATTAAGTTCAACACTTATTTGTCTAAAACAAGAACCGCTCTATTATTGTCTCCTTTTAAAAGGAACTGACTAAATCTAATCAACAGTGCTGGACTTGCCATTATCAAAATTTAACTCTCCGCGGAGGGTTCTATTTTGACAGAACAGATCACAAATTTATGAGATTGTAACAAACAGTAGATATTCAAAATATTAACAGCATGGTCGTAAAGTATTTCTAAGTGGAAGTTTATACTTTGTTACACATGGACGAAATATATACAATCACAATGTGGCTCTTAAGCCAATTTTTCTCTGGGCCCGTATTTAATCACATTACCTGCCATGATTTGATGTTTCCACTGGTATGATATATTTTTTAAGTATCTCTTTTGATTTAAATAATATTTTGGAAGGTGGTCTAATCCTTTCACATATTGGACCAGCATTGGTTGAATACTAATTCAAGCTCTGAAAAGGGTTCTTTAAGTATGACTTAAGGTTGTCTTCAATAGAAGTAAGTAATGCCAGACAGTTGCTGACAAAAACTACCGTACCAGGGATGTTTGACTTTCTTTCTCTTTTCATTTATTTTAACATATTGTTACTATGAGCTATGATGCTATAGTTCTACCCTGAATATGTTAGGTACACTAGCAGAATTCTTGAGCCTATATAACAGTCAAATACGGCATACAGTAAAATGTTAGCAAATGGTCATTTTTTAAGTCTCAATTGATGATTCCAGGTGCAAAGCTTTCATTGTAACATTTACAGTCAGCTTTGACTTTCAGTTCTTACTTGAATACAAATTCAGAATCGTACTAAACTCTTTTGGACATCACAGACATGGATTTAATAACATGTATGTCAAAAATCAAAATCAGCTGATAACACAGATTATTCTACAAGGTTTGAATTGAACTACATACCTCCTCTACAAAGAAGTTTTCCTAAAACCTAACGTTGTTCCAATACTAATTTTAAAACAGATAAGAATACCCACATTCTATATCTCTCAATGAAATAAACAAAATAAAGGCATAAAATTTAATGATGTTCTAAAACAGAAAAACAAAACAAAAACATAATATTATATAAGAATACTTCAACGCAACAGTAAAACTGCGACACCTACATAATTTGATCTGCTTCGTGAAAAATAGCCACCAAAATACATGATAAATGTGACACAAGCAATACTGAATTCAATATATGAACTTACTCATGCTACAGCCCAAGAAAACAAAGTATCACTCAAATAATAAAAAATTAAGATACAAAAGTAAGTGGCAATGGAAGAAATTAACAAAAAAAAAAATGAACTTCAACAGCACAGAGGTAACTTTTAGGATATAAACAAGGGTTAAATGAGGACTGAAAAACTTAAATGCAACAACAAAAAGATATTGAGCATATTAAAAAATACAATAACACCTGTGAATGTTATGGAAATTTGACAATCTGCTACTGGCAACCACTTAAGAACATGGTATCATTCAAACCTACAAGATGGATCTGTCTGTAGCTACATGGTGATGACATTACAAAATTACCTCTTCCATCGGAATTTCACTGAACCTCCTGTTCAGGCGGATGGCCAGGTTGGTTTGAACTAGATGCAGCATCTCCACGTTTGCGCCTTTTATTTAAAAGCTCATTATTAGAATGATTCAAATCTTTAATGTGGACTTGGTCATAATCAACCCGCATTGTAGCAAGGGACCGAGTCATTTCTTCCTGTACATCTGGCCATATATCTCCCCCAACTCGTAGCATGTGACCTGTGTGAAGTGGAGTTTGAGGGACTTCTGTATATTGCTGTAAGTAAAAAAAAGAGAAAAAAACCATACTTTGTAATCCCAAATAGAATGCAAAAGGTACAGATCATTTTTAAAACACAACTTACAGCAATCCACCTGTTCCTCATGACCTGCTCAATAGTGAAGCGCTTTGTAGGGTCAATGTTCAGCATACCACGGATGAGTTCTTTGGCCTCAGGTGATACATTTTGCCATTCAGGATTAGGGAAGTCATACTGTCCAGTTCGAATACGTTTCTTCATGCCAGGGGATATTGCTAGTCCATGGTTGCTGTAAAATGGAGGAAATCCGCACAACCTACAAACAGGAGATGTTCATTAAAAGTTGAACACGACAAGGAAAATTGATCAAAAACAAAAATTAAATTGAAGTTCAGGAACATACAGAATATACATGATGACACCCAACGACCAGATGTCACAGCTTTTGTCATACTTTTCAGGTCCTAGTACCTCTGGAGCTAAACAGTGCAGATAACAAAGTATTAAATTATGAATTCAATAATTGACCCTACATATGGTAGTTACAAACACAGCACAACTCACCAACATAGTATGGAGTGTAACATGGTGTCTGAAGTGTGTCTTTTGAGAATGTCTCTTTGGCAAAACCAAAGTCAGTCAGCTTTAAAATGCCCTCTTCACCTATGAATAGTGAATGAAACAATAGAATGATATCAGACAGAATAAAGAATAAGTGGTGTAAGAAATTACTATGCACTAATTGACTGTTATTCAGTAAAGCTACCTGGTGTGGTGTATAATAAGTTTTCAGGTTTAAGATCTCTGTGAGCAATATTAACATCATGTAGGTATTTTACAGCGGAGCATATCTCCCACATTACTTGTGCAGCCTCTGAAAGAAATAATTGACACATAAGAAAAAATATTACAGTTTTCACACATTAAATACACAGTAAATAAAATCAATTGTATAAATCAGTCGTGTAAATGGAAGTTCAAAATTAACATTACCCCTTTCAGTAAAAGCACCATCTTGCCTCTCTTGAATTCTCTGAAAAAGTTCTCCTCCCTCCATGCTGAAAGTAGAAGAGAAGTAATAACAATACCTAAGCTTTGAGTAGCATCCAAGGCTAAGTCCTTTGGACTGTGTAATATTGTTCAACTTGTTATTTTGCTGATTTTTTTTCCTCTAAAAAATGGTCCACACTTACCACTCCATTACAACTAGGAGACATTTATTACCACTGTAAGTATTTTCATACACATCTATGATGTTGACAATATGTCTGCAGCCACTAGCCCTCCAGTGCAAATCCACTTCTCTACGAGCCTTCACGTTGTCATGTAGCACCTACACCACACAAAAAGCATTGACATTAATCAGTGGCAAAGTTAATAAACATACCAAGGACAGTACAATCAGAATAAGATGGAAATTATCTTGTGATTAGTCTAAATGTTACCTTTAATGCATATTTCTCCCTCGTAGATTTTGAATAGCATTGCACTACTTTGCCATTGATTCCAAGACCAAGAACTGTGTTTGAAATCTCATAGTCATCTATGATTGGAACAGTCTTTGGCGTTCGCGCAGGTTTAATGCTTAAATCAGTCATTGTCCTCAAAATCTCCTGTGGAATCCCGAATATTTCAGTTGACAAACTAGATAAGACGGAGGCGAGGGGAAAAGGGGGGGAAGGGGGGGGGAGTCACCTTCGTCGGTAGTCTTAATTTAACTTATCACAGCACCATGATAACTACAGTTAATTACTATTTAGTAACATTATTGTCAGTCTGACAATTTAAAGAATACGACAACTTCCCAAGGGAGAGAATCTCGATAATTTGGTTGGAGGCAACCATGATACATAGGTGACTCATGAACTATTTATACCATGTACCATGGACTCCATGCATGTACTATGTATGGTTCTTTCATGAGTACGGTTTGCATTAAATATACATGAAATCTTTATCCGCGAAAAGAACAGTGCAAGTTTTGATAAAAGAAAATGGATGAAGTATCTCACCATGTGTCGACGTTTCCGAAATAATTTCAATAACACTGTTTTTTTGACATAACTCATATGACTTTTAGGTGCACTTACCACGACGGTTCGAGGACTCAAGGCAGGAATTGAGAATTGTGCTGGACTGTGTCACTGGGTTCCTGCCTGAAGTAGAGCAAAGTCGGCAACCTTTTAACATGTCACCTGAACTATAAAAGACAATTTTTAAAAAAACATCCTCAGAAATACCGTATTAAAAGAACAATATAATTTGAATTGAAATAATGGTTTAGTTGTATAGGCTGTTTTTAACAATATCACTCGAATGAGATGAGCAAACTTCCGCGTTGTGTTGGCAACATGTTTGTTGAGGTTAAGGTTAAGTTCGTCTGCTGTATGTATATGTGAACATCCTCCACACATAACACATGTGCTGCGTTGATTGCCGGTGGGGTCGTCGGGTCCAAAGTTCAGTAGAGACTCTTTTCCTTAAGCATTTCCTCGGCTTCCATTCAATCAACAAGGTTGCCCAACCAGGTGTCATTCAGATTAGTTCACAAAACTCAACATTATGTTAAAGGTACTGGCATTTTAAAATGTTTTCAGTCTGTTCACTTATCTATTTATTTGAATATGTCTCGGGTAATGTGTGGAAACCAATAATTACGCTTATTGTCATATTGGTTTATAGATACTAATAATTTATAGATTGAACAATGAACCAATATTTTACAGGGTGTAACAGCTTTCGTCACTGGGGGTGCATCAGGCTTGGGGAGAGCCACTGTTGAGCGACTTTCCAAACAGGGTGCCAATGTTGTTCTTGCTGATCTGCCATCCTCAGATGGAGACACGGTTGCTAAAAGTCTGAGAAATGTTGTATTTGCTCCTGTAGATGTAAGTATAAGTAACATTTCTAAGTTGGTTTAAACAATAACCATTTCAATTAAATTTTTGGCCTCACTGTTTTTTGTGTTATTGTCAATCAGGTTACAAAGGAGAAAGACGTTGAAGATGGTTTGGAAGCTGCCACAAAAAATTTTAAGAATGTCAATTTTGTTGTTAACTGTGCTGGAGTAGGTTTTGCTAAGAGAACTTTGGACTTGAAAAGAAACGCCCCTCATTCTCTCACAGATTTTGAAAGAGTTGTGCGGGTAATTAAGTAGTGATTTTTCATGGGAACATTGTGGATTTGGATATAAACATTGCCTGACATTCACAATTTCCTCTGTCCTAGGTTAACACAGTAGGTACATTTAATGTTATTAGACTTGCAGCAGCTGTTTTTCAAAAAAATGATCCTAACCCTGACGGAGCCAGGGGTGTCATCGTAAACACTGCCAGTATAGCTGCATATGATGGCCAAATAGGACAAGCTGCTTACGCAGCCAGCAAAGGTGCCATAACTACCATGACCCTGCCAATTGCCAGGGATTTGGGTCCTATAGGAATTAGAGTTGTCACAATTGCACCAGGTATGCATCACTTAAAATGGAACTCCTATGGGGCAAACTACAGACCCATCATCCCAGTTCCCCTACCATATTATTTCTCGTGACGTAAAATCATATTTTATGTTCACTCAAACATCCCACTTCTCAACCACAACCTGAATTGTTTTTGTAAATACTCAAATCACAAAGTGATGGGTGATGGCCCTGTAGTTTGCTCTATTGAAGTCCACCCTTATTAGTATATTTTTTGTGTGATTATCTTATAGTTGGTCTTATAGCCTCTGTCAATTCTTGTCATAGGACTGTTTGAAACACCTCTACTGAAAGGACTTCCCGAGCCAGTGAGGAAAAACCTTGTGCAGTACTGCTCTTTCCCACCTCGTCTAGGAAATCCGGATGAGTTTGCCCATTTGGTAGAACACATTTGGCAAAACGGCATGATTAATGGTTGCGTCATTCGTCTTGATGCTGGTATGCGCATGCCAGCTTAGTGGCAACGGTAAACATTTTATTACCAATCTCTATTTCAATTTTATTAGTGTTTTGTGAGTAGCTGAAGCCTCTTAACAAACCAGTAAAGTAGATTTCCTGTTATTTTTGATACTGTGTTTTGTCCATTATAAAATTCTACAAACTATTGCAATGTTATTATTAATTTTTTTCACCCAAATCCTTTTTTTAAATACTTGTTTTCCCTTTATATTCTTATGTTTTTTAAAAACTTGTCCAAATGGATTTGTAAATTTTCTACATACAAAGTGATTCTTGTTAATTAATGGCTAAATGTGTCTGTGGACATCCATGTCCTTCTGTAAGGTATCTAACTCAACCTACTTATTTTTTACTTTATTTTTTTAAAAAGGCAACATCACATTTAATTTCTGTAAATGTAATCAGTCATTGCAAGCAAACCATTCAAGGTACACATTCATGTTTTCCTCACATATTCTTGTGACAAATTCTCCATTGTGGGTTTTATTAATCTGGCAGCAGCTCCAGATTCTGAGCATTGTGAGCTCATTGTCTGCGTCCAGGACCTGATGCACCAGCTGAGGGCTCACTCCATGACAGTGGTCCAGGGTGAGGTGTGAGAGACTCTTCATTGGATTGCTCTGCCGGAGAGATTGATTAATTGTTGAAAGGGAGGGAGAGAGACGGGGG